CTAGAAAACCTAGATAAAATCCCACAAGAATTGTGTTTCCAGCTTAGATTGCTGCTGAGGCAGTTTGTTCACATGAGTCTAATATTGTGTTACTTTCCCCCTTAGGAGAATTGCCAAAATTTAAAGGAGCTAAAAGTAGAGCAAGTTTTTGGCAGTCTCATGGTGTTTAAGAAGACAAACATTTGAGTTTTAACTTGCCAAGGACAAGGGGCGCTAGTTAAGACTGAAGCTTTCAAAGGAGATCCATGGATCCTGGGCCGCACACGGGCTGTAATACCTCCTTGGGTCAGCTTTGCCCTGGACAGTACGAGGCGATCTTTCAGACACTAGCTGCCCACCAGATTCCTTTGGAGAGGAGAAAACATCATCAGGAGTCTCTTCAGTTTTGTTTTGTTCTGTTTTGTTTTTTCACAATGTCTGGTATTTGATAAAAAATAAAATAAAATAAAACAAACTACCATGCATAACAGGACACAGGCCAAAGGGGAAAGAACAAAAATAAAAAGAGACTCTCAAGTGACTCAGAAATTAGAGTTATCAGGAATGTACTTTAAAATACCTGTAATAAGTTCAAGGATGTAGATTATAAGATTAAGAATTTCATCAGAGACCCAGAATCTATAGAAATATGAACAGATTGAAATTCTGTATCTGAAAAATCACTGACATTATGAATGCAATAGATCGATTTCACAACATTTTTGTTAAAACTGAAGAGTAGATTAGTAAACCAGAAAGAACAAGATTATAGCATGGAGAGTCAAAGGTATTGAAAACCTATAAAAGAGTAAAGAGAACATATGGGACATGGTGAAAAGTCTAATATATATATGTAAAGCGAGTCCCAGAAAGGGAGGAGGGATAAAATGGAGTGTTATTGGAAGCGATAGTAGCCAAGAACTTTCCAAAAGTGACCAATGAAAATAAGCTACAGAATCAAGAAGTACATTGATTTATTATCAAGATTTAAAAAAACACACAAAAAACCACGCATATCACTGTCAAAATGCTAAAAACCAAAGACAAAGAAAATCTTGAAAGCAGCCAGAAAGAGCCACAATTAAACTGACAGGATTTCTTAATAGGAATGATCAAAGCCAAAACAATAAAATTACATCTTAAATGACAGATAAGCTCCCATTCTAGAATTCTGTACTTGCAAAAATATCCTTCAAACATGAAGGTAGTATAAAGACATTTACAGAAAATCAAGAAGTGAGGGAGTTTGTAGTAAATGTACACTTAAAAAAACACCAAAGGAATTTCTTCAAATGGAAAATGATCCGTTAGTAACAGAGAATTGTAAGAAGGAATGAAGAGCAACACAGTACGTAAATGTGTTTAAATCTAAAAGAATATCGACCGTACGAAATAGTAATAAAACAATAATACAACGGAAGGGAGGTCCATGAAATTAAAGTATTATAAGATCCTAGCATCATCTAAGAATTGGTAAAAGTACAAATTTATTTTAGGTGCTAATAAATTTTAGTACAGTGGCATGTTGTCAATATCAGGGTACTCACTACAGAAATAAAATTAAAGAATACATAATAAGCAAAAAGAAAACTGTAATTTAAAAATGTTTAGTAATCCAAAAAGAAAACAAAAGGGGGAAAGGCAACATAAAACAAGTAGGACAAATAGAAAACAAATCATAAGATGGTAGATATAAACTCAAGTACATCAGTAACTACATTAAATATTAATTGAAATATTCTAAGTGAAGACAAAGATTATCAAACAATTTTTTAAAAACCTACTTCCTGCTTATAAGTATTATAACCACTTTGGAAAAGTGTTTGGCATAATCTGCCAAACTTAGACACATGTATATACTGTACAGCCCAGTAATTCACTTTTAGAAATATACTGACAAGAAAGCATTCATATATGCAACAAAAGATGTTCACAGGATGTTTATAGCAGGGTTACTTGTAATGGCCGCCAACTAGAAACTACCCTAAGATTCATCAACAGAAGGATGGATAAATTCATACAATACTACATAGCAATGAGAAAGAACAGCCTCTGACTATATACTACAACATGAATGAATCTCATAAAAGTAATTTTTATCAAAAGAAACCAGACACAAAAGAATACATACTGCCTGATTTCATTATTATAAAATTCAAAAATAGGCAAAACTAATCTGCGGTGTTAGAAATTAGGATAGTGTTTACCTTTGGAGGGGAGTGGTGGCCAAAAGGGGTTCGTGTTCTGTTTCTTTATCTCGCTGATAATTATATGGATATATCCATTTTATGAAAATTCACCAAGCTATATACTTATGACTTATAATATGGTATATTCCAATAAAAGTTTACTTTTTAAAAAGCATATCAGTACAAGTATTAGCATTGGCAGCAAATTCAGTCCAGTTATGAGATAAAAAAAAAACACGTGCTTCTAGAAGGAAAAAATTAATACACTGGAAAGAGACTGAAGATGCTGAAGAGATGATAAGCTATTTAAGGATGAAGAAGAGAGGATTCATTCAGTAAAATAGTTTAAATTCTTACAGTCTGGGAGCTTTTTGAGGTGTTGGAGATCCAAAGATTAATAAGTTCCCATTGTCAGAAAGGTCACTGTGTAGTGGGAAAGGGACCATTCTTGGACATGACAATGAAAGCTATACGTTTTGAGCATCGTCCTTGAATTAGGTACTATGCTCTGCAGTTTTGCAGCTTCTTACCTAAAGTTGACAACAACGCATGGAGAGGTTTTTTTTTCCCTTGAGGAAATAGGAAATGAGTTGTTCTTAGTCTGTCTGACATTAAAGCCATGTTCCTTCTGGCACTCTCCCAGCCATTGGATGGCATTTTAGACGAGAAAGACTTATGGGATTCAATTTCAAGTGTAAGTCAACATAAATTCCAGTGATGTCTTGGAGAAGGTGGTATACATGGGTGGCCTAGACCTCAAACCATGAACAAAGAATAATCGTGATGGTCTGGAAGTGGATTTGGAGAAACAAAAGTCTTTTGTTCTGAGTAAGGGCCAGACTTTAGAAGAAGGCAGCAGAGATGTATAGTGAAAGTGAGATGGTGGGGTGCTGTTTCTCCAGAAGAGGATCTCAGGGTCTAGCTGCTCCTTATACAGACTTTCCACCAACCGCCTTGTTTTCAAGCTATCCCTGAACCCTCCTCCTATAAAGGTATCTGGTCCCTCCAGTTCCTGAACCTTTCTGGACTTCGTTGCTTTTTAAATGTTGAGATCATAGTGCACACACAATGTTATAGCCAGAATTATTTTTACTTAATATTTATTAAGAGCATTTTCCCAAAGGAAAGCTCTTGTTGCTAAAACATCCCTATTCAAATACCTTTAAGCCACCATAATAGGAAAGTTCTAGATTCCCAGGAGTTCAAGCCAAGATAGTCACATGTGTAATGCAAGTATATAAAAAACAGCAGGAAAGAAAAAACCTGTACCCAGAATAAATTGTACGCTGTAACACCTACTCTCATGCTAGTGCATCTTGCGTGGTTTAATTAGTACCTGAAGCAGGCAGTATGATGCCAGGGAAAAACTCAGGACTCATACAGCAGATATTTTTAAGTAACCCATTGCATCAGTTAGGTTATTGATCCAGCTGTTAAAACAGTGACCCGAATTAACAGTGGACTTAAATAGATAGAAGTTCATTTTTGTTCTCGTTACAATCTGAGTATGATATAATGGCTCCACCTAGGATCCTTCCGTCTTGTTGCTCTGTTATTCCTAAACTGTTTCCACTGTTTCCAGGATTAAAGATGGCTAACTATATTCCAGCCAGTGGAAAGGGGAAATATGGTTCAGGATGCACACTTCTTCCTCTTAAAGGCACGTTTTACACATTATACTTCTGCTCACACCCCATTATCTAGAAGTTACTAGAAGATTGGAAAATATTCTAGCTTGGTGACCATGTACTCTGTGCTATTTAAAAATGTGAGGTCTGGTATGGGGGAAAACTCATGGTCCCTGTCATATTCTGAGCTTAATAAAATCAAGGTTGCTGAATTTAGACTAACATAGTTGATTGTTAAGTTCTGACCTTTGTAATAGGACATTTTGCACTTGTTTGTGTTAAAATTATAATACATACAGAACTTAAAAATAAAACTAGGTACGATCTTAGTGATTTTCCCTATATAGACCTGAGAGAATAGGGAAGATTAATGCCTTGTATTCCTTTATTCACTGGAATTCAGTAAATCCATCACATCCTTTGTTCATTCTGGACAGTGAAACCTAGCTCTTACAGGCCTGCTTCTGCTTGCAATGCTAATAATGAGTTTTCAGAACCAAGGCTTTGTAATGAACAACAGAAGAGACCAAGATATAAACAAAGGAGATGCGCCTCTACCTCACAGCAGTAGAGGGAAACATGGCTCTATTTCACAGAACCAATTCAGAGTCTGCTTTGATGAAGTGCTAAATTAAGAACATTCATAAGAATATCAGTCTTGTTTTCCTGTGCAATATGAAAACTTGTCTGAATATTCATAACCCAGAAATGTATTTTCTGTTCTTGGAAGTATAATTTAACAAAAGATAATGTAAAATTAAGACTTTTGTGAACTGTTACTGCACATTGCAAAGATAACCTTGGACAGGGCTTACAATTCTGATTGTCTTCCTTGATAGTTTGTTGCCTTGGCAATAATACTGTAATTTATATCTGAATCCCAAAGCAACCCAAAGACTTCGAACTTTGCTCTGAAAAATCAGAAGAGAATCATTTGCTCAGTTCTCTTTCCCCACTTATACAATGAAGAAAAATAAATTCCTATCGCACTCATCAACTTCTTATTTTAACAAAGGCTAAAAGCCTTTGTTCCTTCTGGTACTTTATCCAGCTATTGGATGGCATTTAGGAGGGGCTAAATTAACAAGGACAATTGTTTTTCTGTCTGTCTATGAAAATCTAATACCCTTATTTTTAGGAATTCATGAAATTCTTATTTTCAAATTATTTAACAGTGTTTCTTTTCTTTTCTTTTTTCATATAGACTGTCCATCCTCCTGGGTTCAGTTCCAAGACAGTTGTTACGTTTTTCTTCAAGACAACATAAAAGTAGAAAGCCTAGAGGATGTCAGAAGTCAGTGCATTGACCATGGTAAGGAGCTTATTCTTTTTCATTGCTCTCAGAAATCAGCAAATAGTTTTCACTAATTTCTTTTTAAGACAATGGTTCTGTCGTATTTCATTTTGACCTGGGTCCTTACAATAATTTTATTCTACAGTATGCAAGCCACAGGCAGTGGAGTTGGGTGTACATTTAGCTCTTGGGGTAGAAGACAGTTGTTAGACAATATAGTCCTAGCAGAGTGACAGAACTTTTGCAACAGCAGTGTTTATTTAATGTGCCTGCTGTGTCAGACACTGTACTTTATGTGTGTGTGTGTGTGTATGTGTGTGTATTTTTAACAATTTTATTTATTTACTTTGAGAGAGAGGGGAAGGGAGGGAGAAAGAGAAGGAGAGAAACAGCAATGTGCGAGAGATACATTGATCAGTTGCCTCTCACACACCCCCAACCCAGGCATGCGCACCAACTGGGAATCAAACCTGTGACTTTTTGGTTCACAGACCGGCACTGTCCACTGAGCCACACCAGCCAGGGCTGTGCTTAATATATTTTAACTGGCTTCAATTATTATAACAAACCTGTTAAGTAGTTTATTATTAACCTCCTTCTATCAAGAGAAGAAATTTAGTTCAGTTAGTTGTTAGAAGTCACACAGGTAGGAACTGGCAGAGCCAGGATTCTAAAAAGGGTCTCTCTGACTGTAGGACCAGAGTTCTTAACCAGTTATTCAGCCCTGAAAGTGCTGTTTTAGGCATGTGTGTGGACAGAAGTCAGGTTACATAGGACCATGGTGGTAAAGACTGCGGTAAAGAAATGTACATTAAAGAAAATGAGAAAAAGTCTATTTTCTAGAGGATATCCTCAGTGTTCTCTGGGAAATGTATTTGTAACTTCACACTGTAACATATTATAAATAAAAATGGCATTTTTAAAAAGATGTGCTTGGGTGTTCTTTATCTAGTTGGTTTAGCCCAAAGTGCATCCTGTTGTTAAGCTTCAAATTATAATTATTATTGGCTCAAAATTAAAGTATTTTGTGGATGTCCAGTCAAGATGGCAGTGTAGGAAAATGTGGTACTCGCCTCCTTGCACAGCAACATCAAAATTATAACTAAACTACAGAACCATTATCATTCAGAACTGCCTGAAATCTAGCTTAGTGGAAGTCCTAAAACTATGGATTTAAGTAAGAAGCCACATGGAGACTGGTAGGAGGGGCAGAGATATGGAAGGGTCCCACACACATGTGGGGCAGATAAAAATCAGGAGGGAAATCTTGGTTGATGAGGTCCCCCTGAGAAGCAAGGGGACCCAGCCCCACACCAGACCCCCAGCCCAGGTTCTAGTGCCAGGAAGAAAAGTCCCTATCACTTCTGGCTGTAAAAACTAGCTCAGATTGAGGCTGAGGGAGACAGGCCTCTAGAGTCCCAGGCAGTTCCTCTTAAAGGGCCTGCACATGGACTGACTTATACGTACTCCCTCTAAGCTCAGGCACTAGGGTAGCAGCTTGAAAGGAACCAGGGACATATAGGAAGGAAATAAATTGTCTGGCATCAGGGTGAGAGCTATGGGGGCAACTTTCTCCCAGGCAACAGTGCTGGCAGAGGCCATCGTTCCTTTTCTGAGCCAGCCTAACCACCCCCCCGCAACCACAGAGCCAGTGGGCAGCTGCCATATCTGAGTCTCCATCCACCTCGCTCACATTGTTCACCCCACCATGGTAATTCCCTGAGAGCCACTCCAACCAACTTACTGGCCCAACCAAGCTGTTTCCAGTGGCTTTTCCATACTATGGCCTGTCTTGGCTCATGCTTCAGACATTCCTAAATCTCTCAAACAAGCAGCACCTGGCCTTGGCATGCTGTGTACCTCTTGCTAAGTGACCCCGGACCTGTAACTAGCAGCAGTCGGCCTTGGTTCACACTTTGGCCTTGCCTGGGCACCTCCAAGCACAGCACAAGTAGCACCATCTGAAGATTACTTTATAGCTCATGCTGGATCGCCCTGGGCAGAATACAGGCAGCAGCTGACCCTGGCCTGCCCCGCCCAGGAGGCCCCAGAGCCGGCACACCTGGTGGACAGCTTTAGAGCACATTGAAGCACCTCCCAGCTACTTCCACAAACAACATGCTTAAGGGGAGGATGCAGCGGGCACCAGAGCCCCACTGAAATATGTTCTGCTCTGTAGGGTGGCCCCCTGCACAGCTGATTCTCCACAGTGGTTGGTGGTTGCAGTCAGTCCTTGCAACTGTTTGGCCTGGTGGTAAATCCCTCCTGTTGACATGCCAACAGCAATCAAGGCTCAACTACAACAGGAGGGTGTACACAACCCACATGGAAGAGGGAGAAGTACCTGGAGTGCCCAGCCTGGGTGATCTGCAAGGCTGTGCATTGGATCCCACAGAACACCTACCACATAACGCCCCTCTACAAAGCTTGGGAGAGGAAGCAGCTCTTCCTAATCCATATGAACAAAGGGAAGCTGCCAAAATGAGGAGACAAAGAAACATGTTCCAAATGAAAGAAAAGAACAAAACTCCAGAAAATGTGGAGCCCTGGCTGGCTGGCAGTTGGAACATTGCCCCATACACCAAAAAGTTGTGGATTTGATTCCCAGTTGAGAACAAATTTCTGGAGTGTGGGTTTGATCCCTGGTCAGGGAGAGTATGGGAAGCAACTGATCAATGTTTCTCTCTCACATAGATGTTTCTCTCTCACTCCTCCTTTCCTCTCTCTTAAAAAAAGGAAAATCAATATGTCAATACAGGTGAAAATTTAAAAAATGGAGACAAGCAATCTACTAGATTTAGAGTTCAAAACACTGGTTATAAGGATGCTCAAAGAACTTAGTGAAAATTTCAACAGCATAAAAAAAGAACATGAAAACCATAAAAAAGAACCAGTCAGAAATGTAGGATACAGCAACTGAAATGAAGAATAATTTACAGGGAATCAGCAGTAGAGTAGATGAAACTGAGAATCAAATCAGCAATTTGGAATACAAGTAAGCAAAAACCACCCAGTCAGAGGAACATAAAAAAGAATCAAGAAAAAAAAAATGAGAATAGTATAAAGATCCTTTGGGACAGCTTCAAGCATAGCAACATTCCCATCATTGGCTTCTGGAAGAAGAGAGAAAGCAAGAAATTGGAAACCTATTTGGAAAAAATAATGAGGGAAAACTTTCTTAACGTGGTGAAGGGAACAGACATACAAGTCCAGGAAGCACAGACTGTCCCATACAAGATGAACCCAAAGAGGCCCACACCAAGACACATCACAATTAAAATGCGAAAGGTTAAAGACAAAGAGATAATCTTAAAAGCAGCCAGAGAAAAATTAGTTACCTACACGAGAGTGCCCATAAGACTGTTAGCTGATTTCTCCATAGAAACTTTGCAGGCCAGAAGAGAGTTGCAAGAAATAGTCAAAGTGATGAAAAGCAAGATTGTAGGAAACAGTCGATGTTTCTCTCTCATATTGATGTTGCTCTCTCCCTCCTTCCCTCCGCCCTCCTTTTCTTCCTCTCTCTCTAAAAAGCAATGAAAAGTGCCCTTGAGTAAGGATTAAAAAAATCATATTCATTTATTATAGAAGGAATAAAGGAAGCATAGAAGTTTTTAATCCTAGTAAGTGCCACATAGTATTCAAAACATAATTATTGTTTTCTTTTGAAAAACTTACCTGCTAAATGGTGTTGAACATTGGCTCTTTGAAAACAAGACAAAATTTCTAATTGCCAATTTGGTTTCATATAAAAGAAATTGAATAATAAGAATTTTGCTGGTCTTACAAATTTCTGAAAATAGGATTTCTCCTACAATTATTTTATATCTTTAAAAAGAGCCCTTTATGTATTAGGTGTGCTTAGACATAAACACAGATTTCAATTATGGAAATTATATTGGAGTCTGAGAGCCAAGAAAAAACATGTTCCTTTACCCTTAATAACTTGTATGAACCATAGGGTGGAAGTTCATTGTCCAGCTTAACTCATCTTATGCAGACAAGCAAAGGCATAATTCATACTTGTGACTGACTTCCTCTAAAACTCATCCGTAATTAGCTGTATTAACTATTTTTCTTCAGCAAGGCGAAACAAAATTGAAAACACCCAGCAACTTTGTGGCCTGATTTTTGATTGCTTGTTTCAATGTCCATTAACTCCACTTGTTCAAGCAGGGTAACCATTTAGGAATTTTTAATTATTGTATGCAAATTTGCTTCTATAATTGGTCTCATGTCTAAAGAAAAATAGGGTTTCCCCCTAGTTAAAATGTATAAATATAGCTTGTCTTGCTGAGTTTTAAAAATTTCTCATACTTTTCTGATAACCTCACCATTTATTTGAAAATCCTCTTCATTTGCTTTCATTCTGGAAATACCATTTAATTGATGAGTCAGAAAATTAGCTAAAATTAGTTTTTAATACTGTTGGTACTTATTAGTGGGTAGGATGGTGTTTTGGTTTAGAATGGTAATGGACATTAATTCACTATTTGCTACGTATGGAGAAGAAAAGCACAAGAAATACTGGAATATTTACACTTGGATTTATTAAATTTTCAAGTTATACAAAATCATATCTTAAACCTATCATTAAAGTCCGAGGACCCCCAAAAACCTGAAATTTATTTATAAAAAATTGTGTATTCTTATATGTTTAAACTTCAGTCACTTTCAAAGTATTCTCCATTTGATGCAATACACCTATCAAGACATTTTTTCCACTGCTCAAAGCAGTTTTTGAATTCGTTGACTTTGATGTCTTTTAGTGCTCCTGTTTGTTTTTTCCCTACCCCTTCCACATCATCCATTTCCTTCTGAGAGCTTCTTTCATCTGGGGAAACAGTAAAAATTGCTTCGGGGGCGGGAATCAAGTGAACAAGGAGGGTGGGGCATGGGGGTCATGATGTTTCTGGTCAAAAACTGCTAAACACTCAGTGTAGTTTGGGCAGGTACGCTTGTAAATCAGCCATCATGAAATGGGTAAAAAATCCACTGCAGCTGAATGCAGCCTCTCACAA